TCGCAACGGTCTATGGATTTCTATTATAGCTTTCACATGCTTGACCCACCAAAACTATATAATATATGTATTAATATCTCAAAAGTATTTCTGACCCACCATCATGCACCCCAATCTCAACCCAAATCCTACCGCCACCTCCCAGCTTGGACTGGCTCCCACTTCCCGTCCAGTCCGTCCAGTCCGGCCTGCACGTCGACCACCTCGGGGGCCTCCAGCGCGCTGCTGGGGCGGCTCAGCTGCCCAGCCACCGTCGCCTCCCCGTTGGGCGACCGGTAGTCCCCGTGGTCCTCGTGGTCCTCCTCACCGACCCAGGTGAGGCCTCAGAGCGGTGTGAGACAGGGTGATGGATGAATCAATGGCCAAAGACCCAAACACCCTGTGATTTACGTGATTTGATGTACTCCTCCGTGATACCTCGTGTAATCTTTGATTTCAGTCACTGAAATCGGGTCATTGGTGAATCCTGGAAAGGATGGCGATCTGTGGGTGATTGAATCCAACCACACTCAATGAAAGTCCAGAGACCAAGACCTATCAAGACCTTTGATTGGTCATCACTGGTCCCAAACAGAGTCTACTTTCAGTCAACCTGGAGGGATAGGAGGGCCTGACATAAGTAGTGCAGAACTTTCTGGCAGCAGGTTCTGGGAGTCCGTAAGTACGACTTCCATGTGTCAATGTGTATGTTCCAAGATCTGTGTATGGTGTATGTTCAAGTCCTTCGCTGTCGAACGAAGCTCTTCGAGGCGGGAAGCTGTTACTACGAAGACCCACTGGAAGAATGGTGATCCAAGAACCTGCGAAACTGGCCTGTTTTTTTCCTATCCCAAACTTTGTGGTCTTGTCTTGTCTTTTCAGACTGGAACTGTATCAAATGCGTGCCTTCGAAACATGCAAGACTGGGCAAGATATGACTGCAAAAGCCTCTTAGCGGGTCGCATACTTGTGACTGTACGAACACAAAACTCGTCCAACCTGGCCGAAACTGGACTCGTCTCATCGTCCAAGGTGCCATAGTCTCGCAAGAACTTTGTCATTGCTTGGACCTGTTCCTTGTATTCATCTCGCTCCTCAGGCAGCGATCAAAAGCTGAAGCAAAAGAAGCTCCTAAGGGGTGTCGCCATGAGATTTTATGGGTGTTGTGATATTATAGATATACCAGGTGGTTTCTTTTCTTCTCACCTTTCTCGAAGTTGAAACTTTCGCCCAGGTTCACTCCGCAAAAGCTGCACCTCTTGCTCGACATCTTCCTCCGCCTCCTCGCAGCGCCATGAGGGAGGTGTCAACTCAATTTTGGATGTGCTTCGCAAAGTCCTTTTATTACCAGAGGTCCAACATCCATCAAAATCCAACATACCACAAGCAACCGGCAACTGTCCAAATCTCCACAAACGTTTGTCTTTCAAGCCACTTGGAATACCATATGATCATGTGAAATAATATATGTCATACTGTAATACTAATACCATATGTAATACCATGTAATGCCATATACCCACCAGGCGACGGACCTACGGTGACGCACATCAATCCGCCTCATCGACGCCCACGCCATTTACCGCTCCGCTCCGTCCTCCATGGCGCCGTGCTCGGCCTCGGCCAGGTCCAGCGCGCGCCGCAGAAGGACCTTTTCCGCCTTCTCCTCGGTCGTTCCGCGCGGGTTTCCCCGCGGTCCGCGCGGAAGACGTGTCGTCCCCCCAGGTCGGGTGGTTGGTCTCTGAAATGGCCAAGCTTCAAGGGTTTTTTGGTGCAATGGAATGGAGAATTCATGCAGGTGCACTGCCATGTCCGTAATTCGTGGTGGATTGGCTTTTGATGGTGACTCTCAAATGTCTTTGATTCCCAAACAAGTTCAGTTCTGCAGCGGTGCTCACCCTCAACGGCGTTTGGGACCCAAAGCCTGACGATGCAAAACGATGCATATATCTGATGAGCGTCGGCGTTCAACTCTTGCGAGAGCTTGGTAATCTTGGCAGCCTGGAATGATGAGGGGTCGGACCACCGGAGCAAGTCCACAATCCATACGTATCGAGCTACCTCCATGGGAAATGGGCATGGGAATGGGTCAAGACTGCTGCTAATTGGTTCTCACAAACGCGGCTCCTTGTGCCATCTTCAACTAATCTCCATGGGACTATTCATTGTGGTGCGGGTCAATCCCAATTTAACGTATCGCTTGGTCATTGCCGCTTGGTCATTGCCTGAAGTGTTCACTGTTCACTGTCAAAACGGACGCATTCCACGGGACGCGACGCCCGACGCCGACATGGATGGCCGTCCTCACGTGAACCGCAACGGCAGTCGCACCGTTTCGATGGGAGAAGAAGGGATGGATGGATGGATGGATGGATGGATGGATGGATGGATGGATGGATGGATGGACCGTCTAAGCCCCCAATCTGTCTCGTTGTTGTAAACATATGTAAACATTATTGGACCGTCCAAGGTTTGCCCATTGGGCTCTGCATGGCTCAAAAGATGGCATGGCTCGGCTCCGGTGGAACCCCGTTCCGCCTGATGTTGGTTCAATTTTTCGACGTGTGCCAGCCGCGCTTGCAAGCTTGCAATCAAGTCCTTGCCGCATCGGGTCGAGCCGCAGCGAGCTCGGGTCCTTCACCCTGCCACATCTGACACCTGGACCTGGACGTATCCCGAGTGAGTACCTATTTAAAAACACTCCCCTATTAAAAAAAATAACACAATGTCGGAACCCCCTTAATAGTCCTTAATACATTGCTTTTTTATAATTTATGTGGAGGGGATTAGTACTGGGATTAGTATCATGTAATCATGTAAGGACATTGTAGGGCATTGTCCAGTTCGAGATGCTTGAGGAAGCCTTTGCAACAAGACTGGCCATGTTTTGGCCGAACCAGTCTTTTTGGTGTGCGAGGGTCTGGCTTTAGTCATAACCTTGCTGCAAGACCAGCTCTGCCTTTCCACAGGGAAGCCCAAAACCAATGACAACCCAAATTATATACATGAAATGATTCCACATGATTCCACAGCAAGAGTACCCTTTAAGACCCAAACCGATCTTCAAGAGGTACGTGTGCCCTCATTGGGTGCACATGTTTGGCAGTCCTTGCCAGCATCACTGGCAGCGGGATTGGCCTCCGATGGCCGTGGTGGATGTTTCGGCTGTCCGAGTACTGTTCAAACATAAAGGCACATAAAGGAACGGAATCAGTTGCATAGGGTGATGTTCCAGGTCTCCAGTTTCTGATCGTTGGCATGTGTGACATGTGTTTGCTCTGAAAAAACACGAGTAAGATGGGAGAGACCACAGAACGCGACCGCGCAGGACCACTGAAGCTGGCAACATCGACGTCCGGTACTACCTCCGGTTCTTGGTGCACTACGCTCTGGCCCTCAATACGAGTAGAAAGGCATGCAAATGTTTTGGACACCCTCTAGAATCAAGCAAACTGATGCTCTGTTCTGAATCGACTGATCCAGGGGGAGAAGTTCTGCATCATTCCGCGCATGGCCGGGTCTTTTGGCGTTCGAAGTCAGCCACTTGCAACCAGAGCCGGAAGAAGAGCCGTGGAGCCGCCGCGTCGTCCTGGCGCGTCGAGCCGCACCAAACGAAGACCAAGAGACCAAGAGAGACGGCATAGACATGTTCAATCACCTTCTCAGAAGGTATAGGGAGTTTCACCCAGACTCTCCAAGTTGCCACTGGGAGTTTCAGTCCATTTTTAAGAGCCCCCAGGTTGGAGACCTATAGAGTCGGGTGTTTACCCGCCCCATCCAGAGGGTGAGCACTTGTTCGACTTCGCGCCAAGCACAGACCGTTCGGTGCTTCTTCTTAAGCAATTGCCTTCATCCCATGTCTTGGTGCTTACGTCTTCCTATAGGATCCAGTTGACCCCAAAGGATCCGAAGAACATCAAGAGACCCTGCTTTCAGCCTCACTCCCCGGGGAGTACCGGAAAAGGATGAAAAGGATGAAAAGGTCACCATGCAAACGATGGTGCAATGGGAAGTTGGAAGACATCAACGAGTCCTTTTTGGCATCACAGCTCTATCCCAGACACTCCACATGGGACTGCCATATATGCCCACATTGCAGTGGTTTTGGGGGCCAATGTAGGCATATAGGGCAGTCCCATGTGTCGTGTCTGGGTATAGCTTCAATCAGTCCCTCAGTCCCGCAGTGGGAACCGCTTGGATTCCTCGAAGTGGGTTCGCGCATGGAGCCAACGATAGTTGTCCACCAAATAGGCCTCGCCGGCCTTGAGGTCCCAGTACTGCCTCGGTTTTCGCGGCTCCACATGCGAACGGCTCCATATCGGTCAGATGGCCAGAGATGTCCAACATGTGGTAAAGTGGTTCAAACATGTTCAAACCATAAAATTCCACCAGGAAGCTCTGGAGGTATAGAAGGAGTGTCCCTTTAGCACGATGTCTTCAACCGTCGTACTTTGCCCACCCCCAATGCTTGGTCATGTATGTCATGTACATCCTCCAACCTTCGCCGAGATGCACTACTGCTGGATCGCTACAGGCATCTTCCAGATTCTTCAGCAAAGCCTTCACGGAGTCCAGTTCACCTCCCTCCTTCGCATAAGCTGCTGAGATGGTCTCCACCATGTTCTTGGCCTCACACAGCATGCGGATTACCCGGTGGAGTTTCAAGGACTTTGCGGCTGTTTTCGGATCTTAGCTGTTGTTGATGTTCGGTTTTGGATGGGATTGGAGGTCCTGCATGCACTGCAGACCCTGAGAACCCTGATCCCAGTTTCAAAGTGTGTGTTTGGTTTCCCTTATGCGGCAAAAGGGAGAAAGGGAGACCCTCACGTTTCATTAGGTCTAGGACGCAATGTGAACTTTCTCGATTGGCAAATAATTGAGAACGCTCCACATCAATTTCGGGACACCCACGGATGTCCCCTTGAGACTCATCGATATCTTGTGTCACTATTTGTCCTTTTAAAGCGCTTGTGAATCTACGAACGGCTCCAAATGAAAATAGGATGGACATAGGATAAAATTTAAAATATATAGGTGTTGATTCTAAATCTAATACAGAAAACATTGATGCGTGTCCTGCTGTGTTTCAAACGATGTTGGCATGTTTTGGTGTTTGGCCATGCCAACTGGCTGCCAAGCGACATACTGAACACAGGGGAATCCATTGACATCCTCAAAGACCATGGGTCTGGCTTCTTGGCCCGTGGGGGTTGACGCCAATCAGGATGGTACTCCACTGACGCAGCGTCATACTTGAAGCCGTGCCGGACAGATTCAAGCCTCGCTGTGTGTCCCCAACACACTGGCCCGTATAACTTCGTTTTCTGACACACTGATATCTAACCAACATAGAACCCAATGAATAATTAGTCTCAATACACATAAATAAATGCATGTCGTTGCAAATAGATGAAAATGTTGTTGCTGCTGCATTTCTTGTTTTACTGACATCTGATCCACTTGCCAATATTGTCGCGATATTAACTTTTTATCATGACTCCAAATTATCTTGTCCAAACAAACCCCGTGATATCCAAAGCAAACCGGATAGCTCCGCTGAGGCTAACCTTTTTATGAGCTCGTGTACCACAATGCCGACCCCCGACTGGTCCAGCTGAGTGTGTGTGTGTGTGTGTGTGCCATCTGCATAGTGTACGTAATATGTGGAACAAAAACCAAAGAATTGTTCCGAGAGAAGCAGTTCTGAACTCACCCAACTTTGCCTGCAAGTGCAGCCCAGTGTTTGTGTATTAGCTCTTGCTTTTGCGGCGAATCAACGGTTTGGCATTCAATGGGGCCCCTCTTGGTGGATGTTTCTTCAGTCTGGTACAAAGGTTTAGTACACGCACAAGACAATTTAATATCGTTTAATAAAGTCCAATGACGTTAATTATAAATATATATCATACTTGATTAGTGACGGTTTGATCTTGTTTCGAACCTCCTGCTGAACGCATAGGTTCACAAGAGAAAAAAGCTGCGACCCATCTCACAACTGCATTTACGACTTTTGTCCAAGCTTCAGCTGAACTTTTCTCTCGCCCCAGCCCCCAGCAGCATGTTTACTGATCGCCCTAGCGCATCATGAGAGACCTCAAAGCAGATGTTCCCCACCACTGAGCCCTGATCGTCGACAAAGCGAACGCAGCCAAGTCGCACCCGAGGCTGTTGTTGCAACAGTTCATGAATCTTTCTGGCGCTGGCCATCTTGCTTAGACCCCCACTGCGCGCAGGACGAAAGCACAGCATCGCCAGGACATCACATACACCTGCGGTGTTGACAAACATAACTCGTCACTCCCTCTCCTCAAAAAGAAAGTTGTATGGAAAACTGCCAAACACGCTGGATATGTTTATGACAATGAGGCCATAGACTCAATCGACGCTTCAAGCACAAAGTGTGTGAAACATCCGCCGTCGCCTTGACCACGGGCGGCTGGGATGGAGGAGTCGTTGTGAAGAAACTGATCCTGGCTGGGGGAGGCGATCTGGATCCACTCCCTGCATAGCCAAGTGAGTGCGGTGAGGGAGTGGAACTGAGATGTTCTGAGTATATAACCCGTTCAAGAGGGAGCGATGCATCCGGAGCTTTTTTCTTTGAAACCGAGATGTTTTCTGTGGCCTGCACAAACTGCTCAACAGTTCCATAAAACATCTCAAACCATGTGGGGAGTCATCACGACTTATTCCCTCGTCAAAACGAGTACCAAGTTCACCCTACCCTCCCGTTTGTGCTCCAAGCGTTGCCTTTTGGGGGGGCAAGTGATGAGTGATGAGACAAACATAGCCTATATGATAATCACAATTCTCAAAAGTGTGGCAGCCACTGGACCAAATGAGATCCGTATAGATCTGTGTGTTCATGGATTTTCTGCCATGAACCGTTGTCCCTAAAAAAACCCTTGGAACATCTGGTGTGCTGAAAAACAATGGTCAAAAACAAGGCCTTGAAGATGATCCTGAACATCATCATCAGGAAGACTAATTATTAACCAAATAAAGCTGAAGGCCGCCATTGCACCTTCAAGGCCTTGGACCCTAGGGTCATATGGTCACTCTCAAGCTCTCTCGCTGGCAACCCGTTTTTGCGACTATGGCAATACATAATAGAATTTTATTAATATATATATATATAATACCACTCCAGCAGCAAACGATGTATTACATCAATATATATATATAATTATACGATATATACATAGTAAGCACATATTATTGATGCATCCAGATAGCCAAAAAACAGAAATAAGAAAAGCTGAGACCTGCGGCTCAACTCTTTTCCATTCACCTGTTCGCACGCGAGGGAATCCCAAGATCTTCGCCCCGAACCACCTACCCCAAACACCACCACCTCACACCACATGTGGGCGGGAAGACCGAGCAGTCCGGAATACCACGCCTGGGCGTTCCGATAGCCGCGGCGCTGGGTATGCTTCGCCTCTAAGACCTCTGGACTTCTGGCCACCTCCACGCGGGCGCACAGCTCCTGCGGTCGACCGGCTGGGCTCGGTCAAGGCTTGGGCCGAAAGAAGACGTGGGACGAAGTGAAATTGGGCAGTGGTTGCGCTGGTTACTTACTACGTGTTCAGTTCACTTAAGACTTAAATTTATATAAAGCGGTCCCAATTAGATGGAAACCATTAATTTCAATTACAGTAAGTTTTTTCATGATGTCCTTGAAGCGCCATGTTTTCTGTCTATTGGAATCACTACTGCGGTACAATCGTTTGGTTTGATGCCAATTTAGTGCTGGGCTGATTCAGAAGCCCACACACTCCTATTCACTATTTCAGGGGAAAAAGGAGAGAGGCGCAGTGAGTCTCGTCTTTGGAACATGGCCGACTGATCCAAGGACGACAGGACGACTGCTTCAAGTGACACCACTCACCACTGGATTTCTTCAAATGCATCATGGTTCAATGGTTCATTCATCTCTCCTTCTACCTGAGATCAACTCACCGGCAGACTCAGCTCCTGAAGGTCTGTGGATTGTGTGACTGGGCGCCCCAAATGCGCGCAAAGCCCCAGGAAGGCTCGCTGACTACCCTCCTCGCCCTGCTCCAGGAGCCAGTCAGCAGGAAACTGTAGGAGTGCAGCGCCCGTGCCAAATTGCAGTTCGTGGAGGACCTCTTCCAAACCTCGATGGATCATGGTCAAAAAAGTTGCATTGAGATCCATCGTGTGGCTGTCGTGACATGGGCCCCTCATGCTTGGTTGCCGGTTCCCGTGACTCGTGCTAGGTTGCAAATACTTCTTACTCTGGATCCTGCTCTGCTTACACTCTTGATTGCAGGAAACTACAAGACTTTATCCAACTAAATTGCTCACCTTTTCTTGGTGTTCTAAGGCTCAGCCCCTTGCTTTACACAATGCAAGGTCACGCAGGGGCATCGGAAGTACATTGCTCACTTTTCTTCAGACTGGGGTTCAGCTTAGCCTCTCGCTATCACTCGGGTTTGATATCGAGATTGAAAGGAGACATCATGGGAACTTCTAGGAATCAACATGTAACCGGAAATGAAGAACCGCTAGAAAAGCATCGTCAACCCATCACCATCAGCAGCAATACGTACACCAAATAGTAGTCCTTTTGAGGGCTGAAGTCATCAAACAGATCATGATGGGTGTAGTTAATGAGTACAAATATGTAAAGGGGAAAAGGAAACTAAAGAAGCATTGGCACCCAAAAATGACCATCTCAAATGCAAAGTTTGAGAAGTTCTGCCAAACATTCTACAACATGTGGTGGAAGCTCTTGAACATTACTGGACACATGAACCAGGACTTTCGTTCGTTTCCAGAGCATCTTGTCAATGCCTTGTTTGGGTGAAACACAAAACCTGACTTGCATAATTTATGTTCGCTACTGTGTCTTGAACAAATATCCCCGCCACAAAACAATCCTTACTCAGCCACCGGCCACTTGAAAACATCTATCGGAGGGGAGCTGGGCTGTTTCTGTGTGTCAGCTTTACGCCCACCGCCACACGGGTCAACTTGCGAGGAACGCTCTTGCACTGGGACCGTGATGGGAAAGCGCTTCTGGGACAAATCCGACAAAGAGAGGTCCGTGGACCTTGGAATTCCGGCAGGGCAAATACGATATCCTTTCGCAGACCTCAACGCGGATCTTTCACGGGGCACCTATTTTGTATTTGATCTCAAAGCCCCAAGACGTCAGCCCCTTTAGATCAACTTGTGTTGTCTTTCACCAGCTCAATGCCATGGCCTGGAAAACGCATTGCAAACTCACTCTGTCTCTTCGGACGTCTGAACCATGAGTCAGAGGCTCAGTAGGTCTCTTCGGGGAGCTAGTCCATTGCTGGGTTTCCTCACAACCTCTTCTATGGTGTGAAGGACATCCCTCAACTGCATGGGATTCTTCATTCTGATCATTTTGGTGGTCCTTCTGTCCTACAGGTCATCAGACACTAAACATCACTAAAAAGGGTTAGGAACTCAAGATCCAACTTTATGGATGGATTCCTAGAGTAGCACTGCTGGGTCTCCAAGGCCTCCCTGTACTTTGTTCAGACGCCCAGCTTTCCAAACTGGATGTAAAATGGGTTGCAACACAGATGTTACACCACGAAGTGGTCCTCTTCGGAGATTTCACCCAGGTCATCTCCCTTCCAAATGTAGGACACCGCGCCCGGCCACCACGCCGGCTACTGCTTTTCTCCAGGACACTTGGCCAACGCTTGGGTGAGATCCGAGACCAAGTCCTCAAAGCTCCAGCGAGGGACCTCCTCTTTGGAGGTCGGAAGATCTGGAGACGTTCGCTTCATGGCAGCAGTTCCATCTGCGGCTCGGTCTGGACACCTATAATTAGTAGTGCCTGAGTAGTCGCTTGGTGAGACTTGGTGAGACTTGGATGGACTCTCAAAGGGGTCTAGAGATGGGGGACACGAGTTTGTTGGATCATGATTGATTGACGCAACAAACCATGCACATGCATAAAGAAAAACAACAAGAAGAAACAGAATCATATGTCAAGCTATTAGCCCTTGCGGGTCATGACTCTGCCTTTATTGTAAGTCTGAGCCACCCTGATACGCCTCTTCCCCACTTGAACACGATTCACTTGGTGGTTGCTTCATAGCTCAGAACACTGAATTGCTGGTGAGTGAATATCTCGAGCAACCACCTGATATACTGGTGCAATGTATTCTTATGTCAGCATCCACAACCTGCAGACATGACCAAGTACTATAGGTCACTAGGCTCGAGCATCAGCTGTGGTTTGGCATTCTCAATCGACTGAGTCCTAAATGACGGAGCATTGTGATATATATCATGATGCTGCCCACCTCAGGGATCACCGAAGTTATTGTTGTAATACACCTTGAAGTCCCGGGTTCGGAATGGTCGGGTCCAGTATTTGGTCCAACCTTTGTCAGGGAAGCGACCGCGAAGCTTGGACCACGGGAAGCCGTCGATGGTTGGTTTGGAAGTCGGTTTCGGTCGGTTTCTTCAAAAGGAGCTCAGGTCCTGGTCAGGGTCACCACCCATGTCACGGGCTGTTCGGTGCTTTGGTCGTGTCTGTGAGACCATGGGAAACACCCGATCCACAGCCCTTCTTTTTGGGAACGAAAAACATGTCGGCCAGCCTTGACTGGCCAAACTGCATGCTGCGGAAAGGACCTCAACACGAGCGACGCTCAAGTAGCAAGGTACATTCTCCGTGTAGATATCCGCCTGTTACAAGATTCCGGGATTCCAAGCAACGTCATGACTTCATGTGCTTTTGCCCTAGTCCATATCTTAGATCTCTTCTGGTGTCCTGGCAAGCTTTCCATGGTCTTCAAAATAATCGTCATCTAGTCATACAAATGTTCTGGACAATCAGCAAATCAAACACAAACAATATCAAACAATTAAGATCTCTAAGCTCATCTAAAATAGCAGTGTGTTGATCAATGACCTGTGTATCTCAGATTTTGCTGGACAGATCAGTTATGCAACCTTGTCTTTTAGGAACCAATGTCTCAAAGCATCTGCTACACCCTCACAGCATCTCCCTCCGACCGTGTCGAACCGGAGGGAAACACCGCCTGGAAAAAAACCGCTACCGAACCGGTCTCAAGTGGCGACCCGAACCAGATATGCTCTTTTTGAGGGTGATTGGAGGCGCGTTTGGCTTCGAGGGTCCAGTCGTACCGAACCTGAGAAGGTGGCAGTGGATCCCTCGGGTATGAAATCATGGCGCTCCGACTCGACGACTCGACCACCGAATTCGGGTGACGTGACACGGTGAAGTGCGAAGTTTCATCTCGGGGTCTGAAGCGAAGGCCGAGTCCAGTATGTTCAACAATAAAGAGGGAGAGAGAGAGAGAGGAGAAAGAAAGAAAAAAAGAAAGAAAGAGAGCAGGGTATGTTGTTGCAGAAAACATTCAACATAGTAACATAGTTGATGGATTTTGCTCACTGCTTCAAATACCCTTGGGGATCCTCAATCCACTTCAAACACCGATCACCAACCCAAATACCCTTTCCAAACCAGGAGTTTCTCAAATGGTAGCTAGTGCAGAATAGTCCATCAGCATCAACATCGAGTTTCAACAAATCCAAATATGAAACAAGTTGAAACAGAAGCTTCTGCACACAAATGAACTCTTCCATGGGAACCGATGGGATCCGGAAAATAGAAAAACTCCATCTGGGGCATGGGTGTTTCGGTTGACCCAGAGCGTTGGTGAACGGGCTCAGCCTTGGCAAGAGCGGCCGCGCCGGGCGCGAGAGCACAGCTGCCGGGGTGGAGCCTTGGGCCGAAGTGCTGAGAGCTTTGCTCCAAGTGCCGGGCCTGGAGGGGTCAAGCAATAAATAACAATAAAACAAAACGTATTAAGAGACACCATAATTAGACATGAATTACATCATTTAGATTGTTGATTGATAAAGAAGAAGACATATGGAGGCATGAAACATCGTAAAACCATTCTGGTAGGCAGGGTTTTCCATGGTTTTACTATGACTGCAGTCAAAAGTCTACAAGACATTCTCTATACGAGAAGATCACGGACACCACACGGACGACCGCCGGAAACGGTCGACAGCGGCCGAGAATGGTGACAAGGGGCCCCAAACCTCGTCCGGAGGAGCAAAGAAACAAACGAACTCGAGAAAAAAGAAAGACAAAGAAAACACACGAAGGTGTTTCTATGTGTTTTCTATGTTTTTTCGTGTGTTTCTATGTGTTTCTTTCTTCATTTGTCAATGTTTGTTGTAATACTGCAGGGCTCAAGGGCAAAAGATGCAATATTTCGCCCACCATCTACAGAATTCACCCAATGTCCCCTCAGAGAGGGGAATACCTGAACCTCACTGCACCTCACTGCACCTCTACCCTATATCAACTCTAAGCAGTCCAAACAGCTTTTGAGCCCTCGCAATGAAACAGAAACCTTCTAGTCACACTTGATTTGAGTCGTTGAAGTCGACGAGCCCCCGTGACACCAGGCTCATCCTCCACCAAGGCGCCCGTAGGCGCTGCCAGGCCACGGTTGGAGCTAGGCCTTGAATGCGCTCCCAATGGGTGTCGGGGTGTCTCAACATCAGCTAACACCATTGTGTTCACTGATACTAAAGAGGAAAAGGATACAGTAATTTAGAACGCTGCTCAATTAATTAAGGGTTTACCGGTTTTCCTTGTCCACCGAAAACCTGGAAGAGTTCTGGCGCAGTGGGGACGTGGGTGCCAGAAATGGTCCCTGTGTGGACACCAAATGCGATCGGGAGTGCTTTCGTGTTTTCATCCCTGTCAGGGACGAAAACAAAATTTTGATGCCCGCAGCGGGCCGTTTTGGAATCAGTTTGGTGAGGAAAAAGAAAGGACGCCGTACATGTGGCAGAAACAAGGGCCCGAGCCTCGAGGAAGGGCCCGGCCTAGCGGGTGTGGGTCTCATGGGTCTCTGACGGGAACGGATGGGGACTGTGGAGATGCAGCATAGGGGCAGCAGGCTGGGGAATGAGAAGCGACCGCTTTGCTGGCGCCTTCAATTCTCTTGTGAGGTCGAAAAGAAAGAGACTGACAGTAGTCAATGAACATCAATGAACGCACTCAGTTCAAGAATGTTCAAGAAACCCAAACTGGTATAGGACCCGTGGTACGGAGAAGAATCACATACTTTCCAAGCTAGGTCACTACCCGT